TGTGGTCATTTGGCGAAGGAACCAGTGAATGGAGAATTTATCTCTCTCAATCCACGAGTCTTTGTTACTCTGCCTTCCAAATAATACACAATAAAGTTAAAACTAGTGTTTTAAATTTACTAAGCAAACAAACAAATGATCATGAGTATTATTGGAGGCAATGTCCAGAAGAAATAATGCTAGACAAACACATTCTACTTGATAGAAGAAGCTGGGTGGTTCTTTCATGGAGCCAGATCTCACACAATCAGTAATGATCTGGAGACTCCAATCACCCTGTTCTGAGATCTTGGGTGTCAGTGGCTGACAGCATGTTATGTCAGAGACTGCAAAACCAAGTGCCAAGATCAGCATTGGCTGTCACTGTCTCCTTATGGCTATGCCAGTTAGACGAAATCTTACCAGGTATACTCAAAAGTCAGAGAGAGATTTTAACTATTTTTTTTTCTTGGTAGAGACAAGACAGTGTTAGAGGTTGTTTAGAGATTAAGAAATAAAACATAAAGAGAAAGTATCTAAAATATATTGTACACTTCACTTTGCACTGGGTGTGAAATGTGAAATCTCACGTTATTTATGTTCTTGCCCTTAATAGTTTCCCTGGGTAGGGGAAAATTGAGGTGCTGAGAGATAAAACAGCTTGCTTAAGTTAGTGCAGATATTAACTGTCAGAGCTGGAAGCGACTCAGCCAGACTCCCGGCTGATACTCTTCTCTCCTCTGCCACCTAACTCCCTTACACTCTGCCTGTGATGGTAGAAAAGCTGAGAGTTGACACAGTTTGCATCGGCTGCAGAGTTCTATTTATTTGGAAGGCACAATTGTCAACAATTATTTAAGAGTTGCCATTTGGAACAGTTGTTGAGATGCCCACATCCCTCAATAGAGTGTCTGGATTCAGATTCCAGATCTGCTTGCAATTCCAGCTTCTTGCTGATGTGCCCATAACAGAGGCAACAGTTTAGGCTTGAACAAGGAGGTACCTTCACCCAAATGAGAGGTCCAGCTTGTGTTCTAGGCTTCTGGCCTTGGTCTGGGTGGGAGCCCTTATTGTGGCATGCATCTGGCAAGTGAACCAGCGGAGCGGAGATCTCTGTCTCTAGCTCTATCCAAATCAATGTAAAAATCCAGGAGCAAATTTCAAAGTATGCATTATGGAGATGAAGTGAATGAATGCTACTCCTGACATTTTATGACTAGTGCACAATCCGAGTCCATGGTAACATAAGTGGAGAATACAAATGAGAAAGCAAGCAAGTTGACTGGAGAGGCCAGTCAGGGTGTATTCCTGGGAGGGAGAGGTGAGCTTTGATTCCACAGTAAATGGTACTGGTCAGAAAGCAACTGAAAGAAACCCAAGCAAATTACCATTGCATTCATGAAGAACTGAGGGTACAAGGCTACTTGGAAGGAGCCCTACCAACCCTTGCTGAAGCCCTCAGAAGTGGAAAGAGCAGCTCCGAGAGCAGGAGCTGATAACTGTGTCAGGTCTTTCCCTGGACAGTGAACACTCCTCTGCAAGGTGCTGCGATTTGCTAATGGTCTCCACTGCATAAAATATACTTCCTTAAGAAATTCATGCACTGTTATGGCTGGCGTTGTGACTGCCTGTGATGCTAGTCTCCCAAATGAGCACCTGTTCAAGTCCTAGTTGCTCCACCTCCAATCCAGGTTCTGCTAATGTACTTAGGAAGGTAGCAGAAGATGGCACACATGCCTGAGCCTCTGCCACTTATGTGGGAAACCAAGATGGAGTTCCACATTCCTGGCTTAAACCCCTATGCACAGGAAAGCATCAGAAGATGGTCCAAGTGTTTGGGATTTTACTAATTATATGGAAAACTCCAATGGAATTCCCAGTCCTTGCCACTGTAGCCATTTGGGAAATGGAACAGTGGTTGGAAGATCATTGTCTCTGACTCTCTGTGTCTCTACCTCCCTGTAACTCTTCCTTTCAATAAATAAAATGAATTTTAAGAAACATATGTGCTGGGGTATAAATCTGTGTAGTACTCTACCATTTCTATGGGGCTCAGAACACATCACCACTACCTTAGTGTTCTCTTTACCCATAACAAAGTGGAGAGAGGGAGCAAGACTGGAGATAAGATTTTCTATGACAGACCAGATGGGGGATAAGTACAGTAGATTTTAGGCTAAGAGAACCTGATGTTGACATTGACATGGGGCTTGAGCAGAAAGTGATATTCACTGTAAAGAGCGAGAGAGGCGGTAGACAGGGTGTTGTGCTCTTTCTGTTGCTAGACACAGGTCTAGACCATGTCTGGCCTTTAGCAGAATAAGCCATTCCTATTATTGAGCAGATAGATCATTGATGCTTGCTGATGAGTGATGACTGCTGGCTTCTGTGCCCCGGAGCTCACATTCCTACCTCTGTCTGCATGCTCAACTTCTTGGGCTCCAACAGATGAGGCTGTGGGTAGGTAAGAATTTTATTAAAAGGATTTAAAAAAAATCCTTATAGCTTGAGGAGAAGAAGATAATCCAGAAAGCCCCAGTTTGTCAAGGAATTAGACCAAATCCCTGAATCATTGATTTACCCTTTCTGAATCAAGTGCCTGGCTTTTTAAAAATGGGATCCTACAATCTCCTAGCAAAAAATGTAAGTGTGATGTATCACTCCAATCTCACCATCTGTGTGATGGTGACATTTCACCATTGCAAACAAATAGCCTTGTTTGTCTCATAGCAGACTGCAAACATTTGATTTGTGACAAGACAACTAGACATTTGATGGTTTACGATCAACTTAAATACGCGCACCAAGATAGGAGCAAGAGCAGGCAGCAAGACTGGGTTCCTCATGATCCCCAGCCATGCTTTGTGTATTTCTGCAATTACTTTCTTACGAATCTAATGCCTTCTTTCTCTCCTTCTCTCTATAAATCTCCTTCTCTCTATAAATCTGCCTTTTTTAATTAAAATAAGTTAATCTTAAAAAATCTGATGCCTTCAGAGTCATCTGCTATCATAAACCTGCAATAGTAAGTGCTTAGATCTTAACCCTTAGACATTCAGACAACAGTCTCCAGAGGACTCAATGAGATATACTTATTACAAAATTCTGCATCATCTTTGTCTTCATCATCAGTTGGCAATTTTGGCTCATCAGCTGAAGGCAAGTTGCCACCTTGGAAGTGAAGCCTACTTGAACTGGCTCTATACCGACTCACAGAGCTTTGCATGGGTCTCCCAGAACAGGGTCCCCTTGATAAATGCCACTTTCTCCTCTTCCATTATCCACAATACCAAACTGTTTGGGTCATGCTTATAGCTCTAACCACTGAGGTCAGCCTGACAACTGTGTTCAGGAATGGTGATGGGGAAAGCTATGAGCTTAGCTGTCTAAGGGAAACAGAGAAGCCTGACCTCTTCCCAGGAAAGGTCCCAGAATGACTCGCTGGCAGAGCTCAAGCGAATACTGTTGCAAATGTAACTTTGGTATGTGAGCCAGGGAGAGTGGCCAGCCCGGCTCCAGCAGGATAAGTATACCCACTGTGGACTGTCTGATTGGTGTCTCCCTGTGGAGGAGCAGTGCCAGGCTCATGCTTACTTTGATAGCATGTGGAACCCAAGGATTAGTGTCTAGCAGGAGCCTTCAGTGGATCTCTCTCTCTCTCTGCTTCTGGGAAAGTAGAATAGTAGAAGGCTGATGTCATAGAGGTGGGAGACCTGGCCCAAGAAACGACATAGCCTGGCGATTTGGGAGAGTCTAACCAGCTCCAGAGTGGAGAGTGGAGAGCCGAGACCTTGGAAGGCACCTGCAGGAAGTGAGCTGGGACTGATGACTGCCTGTACAGCATTCAGACAAGTGCAGTCCCCACCCAGAAGGAAGATATTTCCTCAAATCTCTGCAATTAGGCAGTTACCAGCTTGAATGTGTCCACCCATTTTTGCCAGGAAAGCAAAGAATGAATCTCCAATGGCTCTTTTATCTTGTTCTGGTTGGGAACTGCAGACACCATCTCCTAAGATGCTTCTGACTTTAGAGTCCCAAGTATGGGACAGCATTAAGGCTTTGTCTTTGAGCTGGCCATGGACGTGAAACCTAGACTGTAACTCGGCCAGCTGTTAAGATAGGAGAAATCCACCTGAGTTGTGATCATGGAACAGGTTCAGGGGCAAGCATTTGGCCTTGTGGTTCACTTGGGACATCTCATTCCACACTGGCGCAACTGGAGTTGAACCTTTGCTCTGTTCCAGATTTCAGCCTCTTGGGGACAACAGGTGATGCTCTGGTGTGTGGCTCCCTGAGACCCAGGTCAGGGATATAGACTGAGTTTTCAGCTGTTGACTTCAACCTTGCCCTCCCCTGGCCATTGTGTAGGCCTTGGGGGTGGGGAGGGGCAGTGAACCAATAGGTAGTAAATCTCTTTGTGCATCTATTTTTCTGTCTCTATAGCTTTTAAACAAACAAACAAACAAACAAATAATAAAAACACCAGGAAGGTTTAGGTTATCTCAGGATCAACAGAACTCACCTTGTTCTGCCAAAGTTTGAATTACCATCAAGAAGATAGTTCCCAGCTGGCCCTCATGCTTTAGTCTGATTGTCCTATCAATGTTTATTTGGGAGTTAAATTCTTTTTTTTTTTTTGTTTGTTTGTTCTCAATTTCCCCTGCCCCAGTAAGGATCCACAGGAGGCCAAGTATCATTTGCTCTGTGAAAATGCACACTTCTATTGGCTGTGACCTAAAACTCTGTTTCCCAAAGCATGGTCTCCCCTCCCCACCCGCCAGCAGCCTCTGCATTGCCTGTGGACTGAGCAGATGCAACGTCTGGAGCCGCATCCCACATCTGCTCAGTGAGAAGATCTGGAGGCAGGCCCAGAAATGTGTGGTTACCCAGCTCTGCAGGCTGGCTGTAGGAAACATAGGCAAGGGCATAAAACTGAATTCTTCTTATTTTTTTTTTTAACATAGGAAAACAGAACTTAAGACTTTGTCATTCTTTTTTTTTTCTTTAACGTATGCTGTTACCTCATTTCCAAATCTTCATTCTCCTGTGGTACAAACTTGTACAAGGCAACATAGGTGTTCATCTGTAATGGGTCTTTGGAGAGAGGTCCCTGGAAAAAAAAATAAAAAAAGAAAATTAAGGCAAGGAAGGAGGAGAAAATTAAGAGAGGAGAGAAAAAAAAAAAAGAGGACGTGGAGAAATTACTGCAACATAATTTCAGTTACGTGTCTTAACTTTTTAAGCATCATCAAATCTCTTACCTTTAGGGTAATTTTTGATTTCCTAACTGAATTTGATTTCATGGAAAAACATTTGAAAATAATTATTTGCAGTATTGTAATTTTCTTCAAATACTTTTTTTCTCTCTCATGAAAAACGATACATGGTTGGAGTTGCAAAGATCCTCTCTAAACAAAGAGGGATGTGGGAGAATTAGCAAACAACTTCTACTTCCTAAACCTGATGTTTTATTAGCTGGCCTTAAAGTTGGTGCCCAGCACATCAGAGGAAATTGGATATATTCAATTACCTCTGTTACCAAAGATCTCATTTATGTGGACAGAAAGAACTCGTGGACTTTGGTGTCTGAGTTTATGTAATAGAACCACCAGCTACTGTCAATGAAACTTTGTCATAACTACCATCACAATGACCACTGGTGATAGCTAACCAGATGTGTTAGGCACTGCGTTACATGTACCAGTACACTTGAATTTCATGATAAGCCTATTAAGTTTTACTATTATTCCCAATGTATAGATTAGTAAGGAGATTTTCAAGTGTCAAAGCTGTTAACATGAATGAAATAATTTTATATAAACATTGATACTTTATATTAGCTATATTACATATTATGCAATTGCATAGTACATCTAAATATATAATAATATACTGGGCTATGTATCTATATAAATACACCTCATAGAAATAGAGGTGTTCTTTTTGCTTATGATTCACTTGGCTATTCAAAGCTGAAGTATATTGTACCATTTCATTCTTTTAATTCTATATGAAGGTATAAAATATAATGTGTACTTATATACCATAAAGTATAGGCATAAGATATACTTCTATAATATGCACATATAGTAAATATAGAATCTTCCAGAACACTCATTGAGAATGCCTATTTTGAAGAAAGTGTGCTTGGTACTCAATTTTTTTTTGCACAAAATTGATTAACTTCTCATTCCGTTTTCCAGAAAAAATCTGAAGGACCCTTAGGAATCAACTTGTATGCCACAAACAAGCACATATCAGGGACAAAAAGGTGTGCCCTACTGACCCTTTTTACCTGTTATGAACTGTGGCTTTCTGTTATTTTTTTTTTATGTCACCTATGAGATGACACATTCTCCATTGTCCTATTTTATTCTCTAAAAATGCTGCTCTGGGACCCACTAAACAGATTTCATGACCCCCTTGGATGGTGGTTTGATCCAAGGGCTCCCGTCTTCTCTATTGTTTGTGACATCCATAGATACCTGGTGGTTAATGTTCTTTGCTTGGTCTCTGAAATCATCGGTGCCGTTTTCTGGATATGTAAACACTGCAGGAGACAAGAGAAAGCAAGTGCTTCAGGAATCCAACAGCCATGCTTTGGAAGCAGGGTTGAACCCACAGTCTCTGCTTCAACACTCACTGCTTTTACCCGACCCTTCCCGGCCAGCTGGTGGTGTCACCCTCTGTCACCTTCTTGTCCCCATCTTCCTGGCCTCCTCACGTGTTCCCATGACTTCGGTATCTGTGGTGAGCACTAACTCTTTCCACTGCTTGCCCTCCTACAGCGCTGCTCCTCTCGGGAGCAGACACCATACCGTTCACCTTGGTTGAAAGTATCAGCTAACTAATGAGATGAGGGTGGCTGATGTGCAGTCTTATTTAATTACATGCAAATTGCCTTCCTTAAGTGTTGCATTGTTTAATCTGCACTCAGTTCTTCATGTTAGCTTCCTGGTGAAGGCTTTATTTTCTTTGAAGGACTTGCTTATTTATTTAACAGACAGAGAGATAGAGAGGGAGACAGAGAAAGAGTTATCTTCCATCCTCTGATTCACTCCCCAGACGACTGCAATGGTTGGGGCTGGCTCAAAGTAGAAAGCAGGAATCAGGAATTCCAAGTATCCCACTTGTGTGATATGAGCCCAAGTCGTTAAACCAGTATCCCCAGTATCCGCTGCTTTCCAGGTACAGTAACAGAGTGTTGTAGCACAGCGGAACAGTCAGGATCGGAACTGGTGGCTGATCAGATACAGGGGCTTAAAGTGTGGGACCACAGGCTGGCCGTTTGATAGCTATGTTCTATTCTGCAGATTAAAATTTTGCTTTTAAACTTCAAAATATTCCCTTGATGACTCATTGTGCTTGCATTGAGGCTAAGTGTTCAGTTTTTCTTAGAATACATATGCTGTTCCCACAGGTTTACAACACCCTTCTTAGAGCACAAGCTTCAAGACAATTGGAAAGGTTTGTCTATATACACACAGATATGGGTGGTCCCTCATGTGTACTGAGTCTCTGCTTTAACTAGTGTGATCAGCCAAATCTATACTGATTACCAATGTCATAGCTTTATCCTTGTTATCTATAGGAAGTGGTCTTGAAAAAATTGATGGAAAACATGTAGTATAAAAGAAACTATAAATGGATTTCACAACGTTTTGTGCTCAAATAAATTTATCTTTTAATTCCATGTCCCATAAACTTTTGGAAGTATTTCCTAAAGAAAAAGTGACAAATGTCTCCAAGTTTATATGATTCCGTTATATAATCTGTTATTTATGTGACTTGACCTTTTAAAATAACATTATTGGGCCTGGCTCTGGTGGCACAACGGATTAAGCTGCCATTTGTGCTGATGCTGGCATCCCATATTGGAGTGCTGGTTTCTGTCTAGGTTGCTCTGCTTTCAATCCAACTCTTTACTAATTTACTTGAGAAAGCAATGGATGATGGCCCAGGTGGTTGACACCTTCCATCTGTGTGGGAGATGAATATGGAGTTCTTGGCTTCTGGTTTCTGCCTGGCCCAGATCTAGCGATTGCTGGCATTTGGGAAGTGACCAACACATGAAAGACCTCTGTCTTCTCAACTCTCTCTGTTGCTCTGCCCTCCCAGTAGGCAAATAAATCTCTCTCTCTCACTCTCTTTAAGAACATTACTGTTTTATTGTTCTTCTTGGTTTCCCTTAAGATGATCAAGAAAGTATCAATAGTGGCAGGGAAACATACCTAGAAACTTCTGTGAACTATCTCATCAGTGCACTGATGAATCTCTGTGTCCACCATCTATGAACCGGTGGTGATGCAGAGTATGATTCAGAATGGGAGGTCACGTGCTCTTGTTCTCGGCTGTAACACCTCACAGTTTCAGAGCCTATGGCAATGGCAATGACCCCATTACCCCTTGGAAGCCCAAAAGCAGTCACTGGTGGAGCTCTGACTTGTGCACAATGAGGAATGATGGTTTAGTTCTGTGAACTTTGTCTACTTCATTCTTTGGCCAATTAAACGGATGTCAGAAGACCGAGAAGTGTGGACATACATCTATCAACCCCTTTTCTGATAATGTGTATCTATCTGAAATCTGCTGGTAAACACTTGCTTCCGTAAGTGTTAATACTGGCGTTTCTAAAAGAATGTCAAACATTATGGAGGTATGAGAAGAGAACCTTCCTCCCAAATTCTTGGTTGACACTAAAAAGGAGTATATGCGATGTTCAATTTGGACTGATTTTACAGTTTTGTAATTTCACATTATTTTAGGTCTTTTTTTATTTGTTTAATGAGAGATAGAGGGAAAGAGAAAGAGACAGAGCAACATGTTCATTTGCCAATGGCTGTACTGACTGGAGACTGTTCAGGCAGAAACCAGGAGCCTAGGGCTCCATCTGGGTCTCCCATGTGAGTTCCAGGGTCCTAGGTACTTGGATCTCCATCTCCTGCCTTCTCAGTGTCTTAGCAGGAAACTGGACTGAAAAATAGATTTGTAAAACATTTTATTGGGCCAGGCACAGTAGCCTAGTGGCTAAAGTCCTCACCTTGCACATGCCGGGATCCCATATTGGCGCTAGTTCATGTTCTGATGGCCCCACTTCCCATCCAGCTCCCTGCTTGTGGCCCGGGAAAGCAGTTGAGGATGGCCCAAAGCCTTGGGACCCTGCACCTGCTTGGGAGACCCAGAGGTAGCTCCCGACTGCTGGCTACAGATCGGCTCAGCTCCATTTGTTGTGGCCACTTGGGAAGTGACCCAGAGGATGGAAGACCTTTCTGTCTCCCCTCTCTGTATATCTGACTTTCCAATAAAATGAAATAAATTAAAAAAAAATCTTTTCCTTTAAGTCATTCTTAAGACTGACTTGAGGACAGATGAGAAAAAAGAGAAATCGATTTTACTGAAATCTTTATCATATAGCTTTTATTTTTATGCCTTAAGCTCTTTTGGCAAAAATGATCTGCTAAGTATTTGAAAAAACATTTCTGTTAAAAAAAAGTTTTAAAAAGTTATATATTTGAAAGACAGAGCATCAAAGAGAGGAGATGAGAAAGATCCTTCATTAGCTGTCTTACTCTTCAAATACCCACAACAGCCACGGCGGGGCCAATCCAAAACCAAAGGCACAAACTAAATTTGAGTCCCTTATATGGATGACAGGAACCCAATCACTGGGCTGCTCCTGCTGCCTCCCCAGGTGCCCACGGACAGAAAGTTAGAACTGGAAGCTGAGCCTGGAGTTGGACGAGGCCAGTCTCACACAGAATGTGGTCATCCGAGCAGCGTGTTCACTAATGCACCAAACACTTTACCTGAAATATGAATTTTTCCAATGTCACAGAAACAATGGACACACCCTCCAGAAGAGTTTCTCTTTTTCCTTATTCTTTCTCTTCTGTGACCCGAGAGCCATGTGCACCACTGCGTTAATCCACTGAGTGAAACAGCAAGGAACACTGTTGGATTATCTGATAGCTACTAGAAGTTTAGGTCCTGGGATATTATAACTTGGCTTTTGTATGTTACCTTTTAAAAATCCATGATTGAAATTATTGTTGATGTTATGTTGCGGCTTTAAATTGATCGGGATGATATTCTGCTAGCTCTGCCTTCGGACCAGAGATGGTCTCCCCAAGAAATCGCTGAATTTATCTGGACAATAAGATGCTGGACTCTATGCTTGGTATACACTTGCAATGAAAGAATCTTGACTGAATTTGAGCTGTAATACCGTAACAAGGTGGAGGAATCCACCATGGGGGGAGGACACGGGGAGGGGTTGGGGGAATCCCAGAGCCTATGAAACTGTGTCACATAATGCAAGGTAATTAATAAAAATAAATTTAAAAAAAGGCAAAAAAATTTTATAAAATCCATGATTGGCTGCAGCTGGCTGAGGTTTTGTTTCTGATTTCTGTGTCGCTTCAGGAGGGAGACGGGCCAGTGATTTTCCGTTCTCAATGCCTCCTTGTTTGGTTTGGGAGTCAGGAACACACCAGCCTCATAAAGCACCTTGGAGAAGGCTGCTGCCCATCCTCCACGCCACTTTCTGTTTCTCTGAAACAGCTTATGTAATCTGGAAAATTTCTACCCCTTCAATGTTTGGTAGAATTTACTTATAAAGTTGTTCAAGCCTGGTATTTGTGTGTGCGTGTGCCAAATTGAAAATATTGACTTTGTTCCTGCAAGAATGAGTAGAAAATCTAGGTTTGCCATGTCCTTCTCCTCTGGTGTCAGATGTTAGGTACGCCCTTCTCGGTGTTTGCTCGTGTGAAAAACACTTTCGAGTTTATGGGCACAAGTTTGGTCATGACACACTCCTGGTTTTCTTTCAATTTCTGTTCTGTTCTTCTCTTTTTGTTATGCTCTTTGATATAAAAACTGTTAGAGATCATCAATTTTATTACTTAAAAATATCACTATTTTTTCTCATTTCTATTCTTTATTATCACTTTATTTTTGGGGGGGGTTTATGCTAAATCCTTTTCTGGCTTTGTAAGTAATGGTGCTCAGATGTTTTTTTTTTTAAATGTTTTAAATTTCTGTTTTTAAAAGAATGATTTATTTAGGAAAGAGTTATAGAGAGAAAGAGATGAAGACAGAGAGAGAGAGAGATCTTCCATGTGCTGGTTCACACTGTCCAGGTGAGCACAGCAGCCAGAGTTGGACCAGGCTAATGATGCCAAGGGGATGGAGTCTCTCCTGGGACTTCCACATGGGTAGCAAGGGCTGGTACACTTGGTCCGTCTTCAGCTGCTTTTCCCAGGCCACTAGCCGAAGCTAGATGGTCACTGGGACATCTGGGTCCCAAACACATTGTCCAAATGACACGCTCATATTGTAGGTAGCAGCTTAACATGCTAGGGAGCAGTGTTGGCCCCAAACTTATTTATTTATTAATGTGGCAAATTTGATCGCTTCTCGGCCTTTTGGCTAAGCTCGAGTGTAATATAAAAAGTTGGAAGCTAAATAGTTACAGCTAAACAGTCAACTGTTTTACTGCTATTTCACTAATTTTGATAATGTACTATTTTCTTTTATTTTAAATGCATTCTG